CTGGGCCCGTGAGCCATGGCTGCTGAGCCTGTGTGTCCGGAGCCTGTGCTCCGCAACGGGAGAGGCCACAACAGTGAGAGGCCCGCGTACCTCAAAAAAAAAAAAAAAAAAAAAGTGAATGAGATCCTTGCTGGGTAGAGTAATCTTGGTTGTAGGTTTTTCTCTTTCATCACTTTGAACATGTCCTGCCATTCCCTTCTGGCTTGCAGAGTTTCTGCTGAAAGATCAGCTCTTAACCTTATGGGGATTCCCTTGTATGTTATTTGTTGCTTTTCCCTTGCTGGTTTTAATATTCTTTCTTTGTATTTAATTTTTGATATTTTGATTATTATGTGTTTCGGTGTGTTTCTCCTTGGATTTATCCTGTATGGGACACTCTGTGCTTCCTGGACTTGATTGACTATTTCCTTTCCCATATTAGGGAAGTTTTCAACTATAATCTCTTCAAGTATTTTCTCAGTCCCTTTCTTTTTCTCTTCTTCTTCTGGGACCCCTATAATTCGAATGTTGGTGTGTTTAATGTTTTCCCAGAGGTCTCTGAGACTGTCCTCAATTCTTTTCATTCTTTTTTCTTTTTCTGCTCTGCAGTAGTTATTTCCACTATTTTACCTTCCAGGTCACTTATTTGTTCTTCTGCCTCAGTTATTCTGCTACTGTTTCCTTCTAGAGAATTTTAAGTTTCATTTATTGTGTTGTTCATCATTGTTTGTTTGCTCTGTAGTTCTATGTCCTTGTTAAATGTTTCTTGTAGTTTCTCCATTCTATTTCCAAGGTTTTGGATCATCTTCACTATCATTACTCTGAATTCTGTTTCAGGTATACTGCCTATTTCCTCTTCATTTGTTAGTTCTTGTGGGTTTTTACCTTGGTCTTTCATCTGCTGTGTATTTCTCTGTCTTCTCATTTTGAGTAACTTACCGTGTTTGTGGTCTCCTTTTCACAGGATGCAGGTTCGTAGTTCCCATTGTTTTTGGTGTCTGTCCCCAGTGGGTAAGGCTGGTTCAGTGGGTTGTGTAGGCTTCTTGGCAGAGGGGATCTGTGTTCTGGTGGATGAGGCTGGATCTTGTCTTTCTGGTGGGCAGGACTGCATCTGGTGGTGTGTTGGGGTGTCTGTAAACTTATTATGATTTTATGATTAGCAGAGATGCAGCCTCTCTGCTAATGGGTGGGGTTGTATTCCTGTGTTGCTATTTATTTGGCATAGGGTGTCTAGCACTGTAGTTTGTTGGTCGTTGAGTGGAGCTGGGTCTTAGCGTTCAGATGGAGATCTCTGAGAGAGCTTTTGCTGTTTGATATTACGTGGGGCCGGGAGGTCTCTGGTGGACCAATATCCTAAACTCGGCTCTCCCACCTCAGAGGCTCAGGCCTGACACCCGGCTGGAGCACCAAGACTGTCAGCCAGCCTGCTCAGTAGAAAAGGGAGAAAAAAAAGGAAAGAAAGAAAGAAAAAATAAAATAAAATAATTAAAAAATATATTATTAAAAATAAAAAGGTAGTAAAAAAAAAAAGGGAGAGCAACCAAACCAAAAGACAAGTCCACCAATGTTAACAAGCACTAAAAACTATACTAAAAAAAAAAAAAAAAAAGACAGAACCCTAGGATAAATGGTAAAAGCAAAGCTATATAGACAAAACCACACAAAGAAGCATACACATACAGACCCTCAAAAGGAAAAAAAATATATATATAAAAGGAAGAGAGCCACCAAATCAATAAACAAATCTACCAATGATAATAAGCTCTAAATACTAAACTAAGGTAAACATAAAACCAGAAACAAATTATGTGCAGAAAGCAAACCCCAAGTCTACAGTTGATCCCAAAGCCCACTGCCTCAATTTTGGGATGATTCATTGTCTATTCAGGTATTCCACAGATGCAGGGTACATCGAGTTGATTGTGGAGATTTAATCCACTGCTCCTGAGGCTGCTGGGAGAAATTTCCCTTTCTCTTCTTTGTTCACACAGCTCCTGGGGGTCAGCTTTGGATTTGGCCCCGCCTCTGCGTGTAGGTCGCCTTAGGGCATCTGTTACCCACCCAGACAGGGCGGGGTTAAAGTAGCAGCTGATTAGGGGGCTCTGGCTCACTCAGGCCGGGGTGGGGGGGCGGGGGGAGGGAGGGGTATGGAGTGCTGGGCGAGCCTGCAGCAGCAGAGGCTGGCGTGACGTTGCAACAGCCTTAGGCACGCCGTGTGTTCTCCCGGGGAAGTTGTCCCTGGAACATGGGACCCTGGCAGTGGCGGGTTGTACAGGCTCCCAGGAGGGGAGGTGTGGATAGTTACCTGTGCTTGCACACAGGCTTCTTGGTAGCTGCAGCAGCAGCCTTAGCGTCTCGTGCCCGTCTCTGGGGTCCGCGCTGACAGCCGCGGCTCACGCCCGTCTCTGGAGCTCCTTTATGCAGCGCTCTTAATCCCTTTTCCTCACGCACCAGGAAACAAAAGAGGGAAGAAAAAGTCTCTTGCCTCTTTGGCAGCTCCAGACTTTTTCCCAGACTCCCTCCTGCCTAGCTGTGGCGCACTAACCCCCCTTCAGGCTGTGTTCACGCAGCCAACTCCAGTCCTCTCCCTGGGATCCGCCCACCGAAGCTGGAGCCTCAGCTCCCAGCCCCCACCTGTCCTGGCCGGCGGGTGAGCAGACAAGCCTCTCAGGCTGGTGAGTGCTGGTCGGCACCGATCCTCTGTGCGGGAATCTCTCCACTTTGCCCTCCACACCCCTGTTGCTGCGCTCTCCTCCGTGGCTCCGAAGATTACCCGCCCCCCGCCCACCTGCCGTCTTCGCCAGTGAAGGGGCTTCCTAGTGTGTGGAAGCTTTTCCTCCTTCACAGCTCCCTCCCAGAGGTGCAGGTCCCTTCCCTATTCTTTTGTCTCTGTTTATTCTTTTTTCTTTTGCCCTACCCAGGTACGTGGGGAGTTTCTTGCTTTTTGGGAAGTCTGAGGTCTTCTTACAGCTTTCAGTAGGTGTTCTTTAGGAGTTGTTCCATATGTAGATATATTTTTGATGTATTTGTGGGGAGGAAGTTGATCTCCATGTCTTACTCCTCCGCCATCTTGAAGCTCTCTCTGCCTCATGGTTTTTTGTTTTAAGCTCAGGTGACTGGACAGTGTCTATGTCTACAGGACAGGAAGGTCCCTGAACCTGTCTTTGAGACGCCTTATCTTATGAGACATTTTCTTTCTCTGACATAACTTTCATGCTGGTAAAAAACTGTTCCATTGGTAGGAGGCTACATTTCACCTGCATCATGAATGTATCAGACTGGAAGAGAGTGTCCTAGTAGTAAGCTGTGAACTTGAATTAGACTAAAATTCTGAAATCATTTATGGGAACTTTTCATTACTTCTGTAATTTCTAAAGCCTCATTTAAATGGTCAGATTTGACCAATACATTTTAGTGAATAAGATAAATATATCTTAAAAAAATTTTTTTTTATAATATACAGGTAACCTTCAAGACTGAAAGGAATACCATAGTGTAAAATATGAGGGGCTCTTGCTACACACAAAGAAATGTGTACTTTATTTTCTGAAAAAGAATGCATTTAGGTACTGGGCTAGTTGGTTATGAATAGCATCAATTCAAAGGTACATTAATGTACTCTTGCTCTTTAAAAACAATTTACACCCTGTCTTGATAAAATAGTTACAAAATATAAAAAGAAACCTGTTTAAGAAATTAAAACTTGGCAAAAGTTTCAACATTTTAGGTCAGTGGAAAGAGAGAAAAAGGCATTCAACAAGTAAGCTCCAGCTGGGCGTTCCATTTTTTTGTTCCAATCCTAAACCCAACAGGAGGAGGCAAGGCCTTAGCAAATGCACCTTCTGTGTAAGCCCTACTGGGGTCCAGGTCACAGCCTGGGGGAAGGGTCTGCCCTTGGGCAGTCTTGTGAGCTGAAGTCCTGGTGCCATCTGAGGGTCAAGGGTTCAATGGATTTTACGCTTTGCCTTCTGTTAGGCAGTAAAGCCCGAGCTCTTCCGGTGAATGGAGAGTGTCTCATGAGTTCCCAGTTCAGCAAAACAGGAGCTGTTAGACATCCAGGGAGATGCTCTGTTCTCACACTTGGTGCTGTTTGGCGGCTCTGTGTTGGTGCTGAGAAGTTGGGTCAGTGACTATTCACTCATAATAGCAGCCTAAACGGTCACGGTGGCTGTGTTCTAGCCGTTAAGAGGAAGCATAAGAAAGGTCAGAGAAAGGAAGTTTGTGTTTAATTTTAGAGAACTGGCATCTTGTAACTCGAACTTAGTGTAAGTATATTAACTTTTTTCCCTTCCCTCTGGACTCATGGGCCTACCCATAATACCAGTAGGAAAACCTCAAAATTTATCGATGATCTCAGATTTAATAAAATGGAGCAAACATGTTATCTCACCACTTTTGAACTGTTTGTGATGTGTTTAGAGTCCACCAGTGTGCCTTTTAAGTAAAATGAATCATGTATTCTTATTTGTGCACAAATGTCTAAGATCTAGTGTTTAAAACCCTAGGGTTGGTGAATTAAATGGAAACACGTGTGCTTTGAGTATGAGCTTTCCCAACCCAGGTAACGGCTCAGACTTCCATCACGTAAGTACCCTGTGGAGTAATGTGTAGGTGGAGAGCAGTGGTGGTAGCTTTATTTTCCTGCTTCTCTGCTTTTAAAAGGAAAGGGCCTAAAGGCAAATGAATGGAAAACAGTTGCCAGAGGACAGTACAGAAACAAAACTGGGCTCTAGGTGGTGCTTGAAAGCAGGTTCAGTAAGGCTGGCATCCTTCAGGGTAAAAGGGTGTCCGCTGAACCTCAGTAACCTGGAGGCTCCTGGGCAAAGTCTTCAACAGACTGTCGTCACCTGTTCTACAGGGTCTCCAGGAGGGCAGTGGGCCAGTTCAAATACATTTTTTCAGTTATTCCTGTAAGGTTGGTATTCCATTTATGTCTATAAATCATCACTGTTAAAGTCAGCAAACTGGTAGGCGGGGAGGGAGGAGAATACACTTAATCAAAGAGCTTTTGCCAATCACAGGTCGTGTTGCCACAAAGCTTTACATCGAAACACCTGCCTGCTTTTGCCCAGCCTTTGTGTTGTCCAGATGGAGCAGGTGAACCTGCAGGAGCGAGGCCTTTGTTTGCTTTGCAAGTGGAATGTTTCCTAAGGGAATGAATGGTGTATCTTTCTTTTTGGTAAGAAAATATTTTTGGCAGAGTTTTAGAAAGGTAGTACAGCTGCTACATTGGATATCAAATACTAACCTGTAATTCCTGTTAAAACATTTGCCGTCAATAAAAACAAGGCCCCCCACCATGTAAATCATAATAAAATGTGGGATCTATGTGTGAATTTACATAAATAGCCAATTCGTATAACTGTGCTCACTCAAAACGAAACCTTTAGCATAAACATTTAAGACTCTATAGATCCAGGCCGATTTTAACATATACCTTTTTTTTTTTTATTAAATATGTAAAAAGATAAATGCAAGTCAAGTTATTCACATATTCAGAGACAAAAAACTATTCTACCATGCGACAGTAGGTGGGTAATGTAAAATGAATGTGATACATCTGAATAAGACTTTTTCATCTATTATGTCATTACTTATCTATATTTATAATTAACAATACATATGTTTACATTCCTTTCAGTTTACATTTAATATATAACAAAAGCTTTATGGTGTACTATTTAGTAAAAGTAATTTGAATGCATATTAAACCTTAACGGAATAATGGGAATACTCACCAGGGAAGGGAGGAGTTCCTGGTTCCCTTCTGGAGTTTACTTCTCTCGGGTCAACAGGGTGTGTCTTTGTCTTTTCTTTTTCTGCTTTTCTGCTCTTTTCTCTTTACCCCCTGCTTCAATCACTTCCTACCTGATATGAGCAGTGGAAGTACTATAACCAGCTGCGGCGGGTGTGAAGGGGACTCCAAGACCGAAGTCTAGCTTCTGAGAGGGAGGAGCAGAGCACGCACCAGGGGATGCGTCTCGGCCCAGCATGACGACACGTGACGGGGTCCACAGAGGAAAGCACGCACTGGCTGCCGAGATGAGAGAATGACGGGGTAAAGCCATCAGGGAGAAAGGAGCAGTCCTGGGAAATGAGAGGTGGTCTGCACAGAAGCTGGGGTGCAGCCGAAGAGGACCGGGATACTTAGCTGTCAAAGATTCCCCAAAGCATCAGTGATGTCCCATGCGATGCAGGGCAATGGAAGACGTTTCAGATGTTGACAGAAAGAGAAGTATATAGCTCCTCTCTAAATAAATGAATAGTCTGCCCCAAGACTCCGGGAAGGAGAAGGAAGTAGGATGACTGGCGAAAGTTGTCTTTGCCAGATATATGGCCAGTGTGTTTGTAGCTGAGAAAGTTGGGGATTTGGGGAGGAACAGAGTGGCTGAGTGTCACTGGTGAGGCTTATGCACGTTACCCAGTAATCACGTGCACCCACATGATGGGAGTGTGGTCCCCGATCCACCTGGCACTGGGTATTACTGACATGTCCAAGGCAAGCAAAGAACTGCCCAGGAACCACTGAAGGATCACCTGCATGGAATTATTTATCGTGCCTCTTTACAAGAGCTGTTTAGAAAGAAGGAAACTCAGTGAGTGCAACAGGCTTGGCGGGGCGGGGAGGGGAGGGAGGGGGTGGGGACGACACACTGTTAAGCGCGATGCTGCGTATAGCACGACCACTCCCTGCGACCAGGTGTGGGAGGATGTCACCGCCGAGAGCCAGGCCGTATTCCAGCCTGAGAGAAACGAGCTGCCGCTGTAGTGCAGAGCAAGCAGGAGAGAGAAGAAAGGGAAACCAAACCCCATGAAACATCTGTCCAGTTCTGCACAGTGTCCTGTAATAACCTCAAAAATACAAGCAATCTTTTTCACATGTTACTCAGTAAATACCACTCTGCCACAGAAGATTTATTTTGAGAAGACTTCTTTTGGTGGAAAGCTTCAATGCTAGAATTTAGGATTAGTATGTCATCAGTTAATAAAGAAATGTCAAAGCTTTATGATACATAATTCAGAAATTTATTTTAAGCTTTTCAATTAAGAGGAAAGTGGGGTGGGCACACTTGTTTGCTGTTTTTGTTGTACCTGCTAAGTCAAATAACAAGTGAAAGAAAATCTAAAGTCAGAAACCGAGTGAAATGAATGATCCAGGAAGGGAAACCATCTGTCAAAGGGCGGGGTGGGGAAGAGGCAAAGATTTGGAAAGATACTAAGAAAATGTGCAAATATTAGTTAAAAAAAATAAGGAATGCTTTTAATTCATTACTGTTTCCTCTGTTTATGAACTGCCACGATTTAGCGAAGGTCAATGACAAGGAGGGCCATAGTATTGAAGAGGGGGAATTCTTTATTCCACAAGGCATTGGGAGTCAGATTTTCCTGTGCTGTCATTCCAGTGTCAACAGCAGACTTCAGAACCAGGATTCTCCCTTGGGCTTACACTCCTATTCATAAGGTCTTCACTCCCAGCCTTCCAGCATGATGCGGGACCCTGCCGCCCGGGGCTGCACACCCTGAAGTCATTCTTTAGTAGGAATCCCCTAGTGTGGATGAGAGGATCTGGGCTGAAACCCACAGGAGGAGGCGGGAGGACCTGTGCCCATGCAGACCCCCTCTGACTGCAGACAACTGATGACAGCTTTTGAGGAGAGTGGCTCCCCACCAAAGAGGACCCTGAGAAAGAAAAGAGCATGAGAATCTGGGTGGGGGGAGGCGAGGGAAAGGGCAAGCAGTTAGAGGGCCAAGTCGAGATGGTGTTTTCCTTGAGTGAATGTCTTTCAAAACTAACAACATACTGTGTGGTTGTCTACCATGCCGATGTCTGAACACTGCTGGGCCCTGACGTCCTAGTTTTGATTCCTTTTTTTTTTTTCCCTTTTGTTTGTGAGTAGAGGGAGAAACTGACTTGGTGTTTTTCCCCGTGAAATAAGTCACTGTCATATGGCTTTCATATCAAGTATCTCTTTCCCTTTGTTCCAATTTATTATCTGACCAAATTTATGTTCAGAGGTTAGACTTGCAAACATCAAAGCACCACAAATGTGTGTGACATCTAGTGACACTGGGTTGAGAAATGCCAATATAAATACCATATATCAAATTACCATTGTTTCACACCAGGATAAAAAGGGGGTGGGGTGGGGGTGGGGACAGTTGTTCTGGAAAGAAATGCAAAGAGCAGAACCAATCTCAAGCAGCCAGGTGGTGAAGTTGAAGGTATGTGACCCCGTGATGTCTTGGGGAGGCTGCCCACGGCCGCAGCTAGTGTGTCTTGGCGAAGGAAATGGGAACCGAGCGCGGTGGCTGGCATGGGCGCCGGCGCAGTGATGGGACAGCAGGCTGGGAACAACTGGTTTCTGATGAGCTTGAGGCCACAGGTGTTCCAATTCTCCAGAAGAAAAGTTCCCACCAGAACGGAAGTGTGGAGAGCTGCCGAGACGGTTCAGTACTCTTCCTGCTGCTGGGGCTGCTGTTCGTGGACTTGTTCCTCTGCTTCCGGCTCCTCCGGGTGGCCCTCCTGTGGGGCAGGGGAAGAGGTTTCAGCTGAAGCGGTTCACTGCCGGCAGCCCTGCAGCGTCCCCAGCCCCACCATCGCTGCACAGCACGGCATCGCCACGGCTTTTGCCACGCAAGTGCCTCCCCGCTCCCAGGAGCCCAGGCACACACAGGGATGCCTTCACCTTCCTGCCCCATCAAGGAACGGCCCATTCTGGAGCGTGGCCAGCAGGCTTTAGGCACCACGTTTTCCTTCTGACCATTTTGGAAGGACGTCATCACAGAACATACGACATCCTTTCCCACCCGCTGTACGACAGTAAACCAGATGCAAGGACTCAAGAGCGTCACGATAACCACGAGTGAGCCTGCTGTGACACAGCACAGGGCCCCAGGCCCCTGCAGTGTGTCCGATGGTTCCCTGTTTCCTGCCCTGCTGTCCTCCTCCTCACCTGGTAGCATGTCTGCTAAGCAGACTCCGTGTTATAATCTGTTACTCATCTGATGTAGAGAAGCAGCTCGTTAGAGTGGGTAGGTAAGGAAAGGACAATAACTATGGTTCTGGGTTGCCCCCAGCCAGACGGCGTCTCCAACAGGGGAGCTCAGGAGCTTGTGCTCAGGGACTTCGGGACATCTATTTTGGGTATGTGAGGACTTTTTTTGCTTACTTTCTGATGGTTGAGGTGTTCCTCTACTTGGCTTCAAATGACCTATTTACTCACTTGCGTATAACCCGGGGAAGCACATCATGAACACAAAACTCCAGGGAACATAAACCCTGGTCAGCTATATCTGCCAATTCTTTTTTTTTTTTTAATCTCACAAAGGATAATTAGCTCTTTACTACCCAAGCAGAGGGAGCGTAGCTAATCAATAGGGCCGACTGCTCCCTCCAGAATGCACAATGCTTTTGCGATGCAGTCGGGAGCGTACGCTGGGACGTACAGACGTGCTTGTGTTCACTTGCACTTTGCAAACCCCCCTTCTGTCTGGCCCGTATTCCCTTTAGCCAAGGACACACCCAACTCAAATACAGCAGCATCATTTCCCCCGATCCCTGAGCCAGGATTCTCTCCCTCCTCCTGCATTTTGCTTCTTCCTTGGCCTTAAAACTTTTGACTTGTAATCTTGTTTGTCTTGAACCTTGTGGCCTCGTCCACTGGATCCTGAGGATACTGAAGTCGGGACAGGGCCTCATCCATCTGTGTCAGACCTTGCTTACTGTACAACTCAATGCATGTGTGTGAGGAAGAAGACATCAGAGAGGGTGCACGAACAGATGACCGAGACTATCAGACAAGGTCACGTGCCACTTGTCTTCTGAGAGGCAGCATAATGTCAAGGTTATAAGCATGGAACTGGAGTTCATCTCCCAGATCCATTATGTACAAGCTGGGTGACTTAACTGTTCTGTGCCTCGGTTTTCTCATCTGTACAAGTGGGAGATAGGACAAAAGTGCCCATTTACCAGCGTTTTCAATGAGTGTCATTGGTCACTGAATCGATGGAGTCACTGAATTCAACAGAGAGCTCTGAGTTAAAACAGGTGAAGTGCCTAGAACAGTGTTTGGCACATAACATAAGTGTGAGCTGTGATTCTTTTTTCTTGGTAACTCATTGGAATATGTTCTAGAAGTAAAAATAATTTTTTAAAAAATAGTCTTTTCTATGACAAGAGCAGAAAATGACATCGTATTGAAGACTTGGGCTCAAATCTAGCACCGTCCCTTACTGGCTGGGTGTCTTCAAGCAGCACATTATTTAATTTAATCAACATTAGCTCACCCCATGACCACACCCCGTCGTCATACCTAAAACTGCTCCACCTCTGAAATGTGAAGGCCCAAATCCTACTCTCCCTGCCCACATCCTGCTGTCCCTCGGGACACCTCGCTCCTTAATTCCTTAACCACGATGTCCTCTGACCTCAGAGCCCCAAGCCCCCCTTTGCTCCCGGCTCTGCCAGCTCGTCCCCGGGCCGGCCCTGCAGCGTCCTCCACAAGCCTCTTTGCCCACCGCTCAGCACACGTGAGGGTGGTCCTCTCGGCTCAGTTAGTGCCTCAGGGACAGAGGTGCCCTCCTGGGAGCAGAAGAGCACCTCTTGCTGGGATAGAACAAGCGAGGAAGAGCCACCAGCCTCCCTCTAGTCCAGGGGCAAAGAAGGAAAGTCACGCTCATGGGAACTGACCAGGATGGTGGACCAGGAGCTCCGGGTGTCTGCTCTGCCGCACGCTCCTCCCCACGCCTTTCTCACTGCCTTCGCCCCAGAACGGATCACTCCTCTGAGCTTTACATCCTTGATTCCTGTTTCCATCCGGTTGCACACTGCAGCCCTGTGTGTGTATGGGCGCGTGCTTGTGTGTCCCCACTGGCTGGCTCCACGGCTGCCTCTTCAGCCAGGCTCTGAGCCTCTGAGTCCCTTAAGGGGTAGAGATGTTGTTGTATTCGTCATCCTAACCTGTTAATGCCAGTGTGGTGCCTTCCGTATCATATTGCCCAGACTTCAGCTGGTCTGAAGTGCACTTTTCTTACATAATCGTTTCTGTGAGTGTTAGGCTGCTGATGGGAAGATCGTCAGAAATGAGGATCTGTTTGACATTTTACAGAAAATCTTATTTGCTCACATCATGGACTGCGAGTTAACTGTGGGATAATGGATTTAATTCAGGACTGAGAGTCAGAAGATTTGGATTCAAGTAACTGTGGGCCTGTCAAACCAGCTGCGGGAAGAGAAACGCACTAGATAAGGCTCCCCCTCGGGCCTCCTTTCCATACTTGATGAGCCAGGGGGTGGGTGTGGTGCCCTTGTCTCCAGCTGGCCAAGGGCAGCTCCCTCACTCACGGTGCACCGCTGTGAGGTCATGCATCTCATCTGCAGGAACTGCGGACCCCAGATCACTCTTATTGGGTACCGTGGCTATAAAGAACAAACGTCCTGGGTTACCAATGGATTGCTAATGCTTGGGGTTCAAATTAAGGTGCTCTGAAAGTCTGGCAGGACACACCTGTAACTCTGAGGCACCTGTAGCCCATCACCACTGGGAGCTCCCCACCCACGCGTGGAGGCACTCACACACCGAAATGATCTTTCTCTTATGCCCCACGCAAGACTGAAGAAGAACTTAAACGCACAGGTGAGGAGGAGGCCAGGCGAAACCTAGGCCAAACATGTGACTAAAGCACTGGGGTGCCACCTACTTAATTAAGTCTAATATTTGCATATAAATCCACCCACAGCTGTGAGTGACGCTTTGGAGTTCCTTATTCTTATAATAATCATTAGAAGGAGAAGCAAGCAGGAAGACAGTACTGAAGAATGCTCTCGGCTACTGTGGGAGGAGAGCGGGGACAAAGGAGGGGAGGAGGGGGAGGGCCGTCAAGAAGCTGGGCTGCAGGGAGTGGGGAGAGGGCATGGCCCCCACCTTCCCAGATGTAGGAGGCAGCGCACAACAGGCTCATCTGCCGCCACTCACACCAGCGAGTCCGGCTGTTCTGTCCTCTCTGCTTCGTTCCTGCCATTTCCTCTGCTGAAAAAATACTCCCCCGTCTTACCTCTGTAACTGCTGACATTCCTAATCATCTTTCCACGGCCAACACAAATGTCATCTTCTCTGTGAAGTCCTTGCCTGTCCCTCCAGGCTCTCTTTATGTGCTCCCCACACAAGTTTATTTATGTCTCTATTACTGCGTTTATCACAACCTGACAAATTCCAGTTAGTGGTGTCCCTGTCTGTCTCAAGGGGACTGTGAGCTCTTCTAAGGCAGGGGCTGTGTCTGTTTTCTATAAACCCAATGCTGCGTCCAGTGACAGAAACGCAGGCTGAATTCAAAAGATGTGGCCTGAAGGGGGGAGTATCTTTAGGTCATTCGACAGTGGCTTCCGTGACAGGAACTCAGGAAACAAGTGTCTCTGTATTAGCAGGTGACCCTCAGCCTACAGATCCACAGGGCAGCAGCTAACCAACGACGTTAAGCCCAGACACCTGTGGCCCCTAGTTAAGTAGTAAAGATAATGAGAATCATAATGAGAGGCACTGGACGGCCAGCTGGCCATCTGCTCTGGAAACTTCCATTAGGTTTCTGTGACTGCAAACTGAACTGCCTCTGTTTACTTCCACACTCAAAACTCTCATCTGGATTTCTACATCTTCCAAACATGTTATCCTAGGATTGCTTGATCAAGAGAATCAAAGACCAGACATCACTAAATAAAGACTGAAGGAGGAGGCCTCTCCAGGGAATGCCTCCACCTGAAGTGTCAACGTCGGGTCCATCTGTGGTGAACTGAAGAGTAGGCACTCACTGCAGCCTCTGATTCCTCAGTACCCCTCTCGTCTCCAGGAGGGAGGCAACCAACCAGAAATCTCTGCCTCTCAGATGTGCACAGAAGTCCGACCGGCGGCATCATGCATAAAGTACCGGCATTTTTTCCCAGACATCATGCCCCCCGTGGCTGCACGTCCACCTAGCACTGAAGTGTGTGAATGGCCTGAAAACAGGACACAGTGTCAGGGTCAAGCACAGCGAGGGAAAAAGGAGGCTCTGAGAGCTTGCGGGTGGGTGCAGTGGCCCAGCAACCTCTGAGCACATTTTTCCCCAAGTGATGCCTTTCCTAGGCAAGCGTGGAAGCTTTTTAAAGGCTCACTGCCTCAATGGTAGAAGCTGGATAAGCTGGGAGGCTACCACAGAATCAGGACTCACTACGCTTAGGGAGGGAGGCAAACGCTTGCGGCTCTAAGGTGTCTAGGACAGTTCCATGAACCTCCAGGAAGGGAAGCAGAGAGCAGAGCAGGCCAGCCGCTCCTGAGCCTCTCGCCATCCGCCTCTGTAAGAAGTGTCATGTGTGTGCGTGTGCAGCATGGAAAATACCGTGCAGTGTCCAGGCACGTGGCAGACAGCCTTCGCCTTCTCTCTATATAGAAACCGAAGTTTAAAAAAATGGGTCTTGTCACATTCTAAACAAGGACGCTTGGCATATTCCAGCTTATTCTCTATAGAAAACTCAGCATAGCCTGATGTGTTTCTTTTGGAGCTGTCCAGACACAGAGTTGCATTAGAAGTTATCCTGGAATGAGAAGAATTAAGGCAGCAGCTGCATTTGAAGACTTTGCGCTGGTAACCCACACGTGTTACGTTTGTGTTAAGTCTGTTTTCCCTTCCAGATTCCAGTAGCCTGGTTACTGCCTCTAAATCTCTTCCTGGACTTTGGATACTCCTTAGCTTACACTCAACAGTGATGCCACTGTCTCTCTCTCCTCCCTGCCACGTTTCTCTCTATTTGATGACATCAGCACAGTGCCAGTCAGAACAACGAAGGTGGGTTTAGTGACACTACCTGCCAGAAAAAAATGGAGGTTCTTGCCGGATGCTGAATTAAACAGACTGCCCAGAGAAAGAGGCCAAGACAGTACTTTTGAAGGTGTCAAACAACAAAACAAGGTGAAGGGAATTATTTGGAGAAAATCCAGGCAGGAATTTGACTGCTCCCTTCTTCACGTACGGAACACGTGCAACTCAATACTGTCAATTAGACAAAGTCTGTCCTGCAGTTTCCCCCAAGAGGTACCGCCTTTACTTTTTCCCTTCCCCATGGCACCCAATATACTGAGAGGCAGGGAACATAGTCCTTAAGATTCTGGGCTCTGAGTTAGAGAAACCTGGGTAGTGACGGAGCTTATTAAAGATGGGTCATTGGGCTTCCCTGGTGGCGCAGTGGTTGAGAGTCCGCCTGCCGATGCAGGGGACACGGGTTCGTGACCCAGTCCGGGAAGATCCCACATGCCGCGGAGCGGCTGGGCCCGTGAGCCATGGCCGCTGAGCCTGCGTGTCCGGAGCCTGTGCTCTGCAACGGGAGAGGCCACAGCAGTGAGAGGCCCGCGTACCGCAAAAAAATAAATAAATAAATAAACATGGGTCATTGAGCAAGTAATTTTTATCTGTAAAGCAGAGATAAGTAATAGTACACCACATAAGGATGTGGTGAGAAATATATATATAGAATATAAACGTAATATCTAGCACATGCCAAATGCTCAAGGTTAGCTATTACTACTATCATGTTCCCCATTTAAAAGGTGGCTCAGGCTTGGAGAAGGGAGGGCACGAACTCGGGACTCGAGTTCAAATGCAAATTACGCTGCTTATTCACTCGGGAACGTTATTTAACCTCTCGGCTGCCTTAGTTTCTCTCATCTATAAATGGGCTAACACCCATATCTACCTAATAGGATTCTCCAGACAATTAAAGGAGCTGATACATGTAAAGCCCTTGGCCTTCCCCCTCATCTCCCATCCCAAGAGTTTAAGGAAAGGACCTGCTAAACCCATTAGTCTTAATGACTGATGATACTCTGAAGTATTACTTCTTTGAGGGGCGTGTGCGTTAACTGCCCATACACTGCAAGAATGGCTCTCTGAATCCAGGTCTCGGTAAGCTGGTGCTGGTGTGTGTGCTGGAGGTGTTGGAGATATAAATGGTCTAACAGAAGCTGAGTGTAGTCATCCAGGAAGACACTCCCGAACTCTCAGGAGGCAAGAGCTCTTGCCGAAGGCCAGCCCCACCTGCCATTAGCTAGGAATTCAGTGGCCCTGCCAACCCTTAATTTGGAGTTCACCTAACGGCGCTACCTCACAACGACTCCTCCTTTGGGACAAGATCTGGCTCGAGGTTAGCATCAGAAGGCTAGAGGTTAGCATCAGCAGGGAGATTCCATCCTGCAAGCCGCCTTGCTCCCGCGAGCGGGCACCGTCCCGGATGGGCAGCAGCACGGTTCACTCGGGCTCACGGGGCTGCTGCACAGACCTCATCGAATTCAGCCTCAAACAAGCTTGTGAAGAGAATAACCATAATTCGTCTCGCGCTTGACAGATGACAAAGCACTCTCTACATACAGAACGTCATAAAAATGCCACTTTGGGTGGTGCAGATACACACACTACAAAGCAACCTTTGGTTTCTTCCGTCAGATCTGAAAATACTGAGAATATTTTGTAAAGCCGTCGCTATCTCTGGGACCTGGGCAGGTGGATCCCCAGGGCTTCAAGATCTATAGCGTGAGCTAACCGAGAAAGAGGTTTAAGAATATATACATATCCAGGGGAAACAAAAAAAGTGCTGGAGAGTCCCCAAACTCCAGACAGTTTCTTACAGTTTAGGAAAATTTCAGAGCTAGGATTTTAATCTTACACGGAGTAAACAACTGCCTGGTATTCGGCTGAAATAAGATAAAAGTAAACTTGCTGGTGGCTTCCTATGTTCTGTGGAAATACCAACACACGTGCAACTCGACCACAGAGCCCTCAGGGCACCTGCAGGCCTCCTAATCACACCTACCCAAACACTTCCTCAGCCCCAACCTGGCAGCAGGACGCCTGCAACCCTGGCCCGTGCTCTCCTGCCTTTCACTGCGCCGCCCTCATGAAAGTGAAGCCCCACGGGGCTCCCACTGCGGCTGCCAGGGCCTCTCCCTGCCTGTCTGGGCGGACTTGGGGTGACCTGCCTTGGGCCCTGCCGTTTATCCTGCCCCTTCCCCTCCTCGCTTCCTGAGACTCATGTTCCTCCGCTGCTCCTCACGTCGGCTTTCCATGCGCGGACGGAGCCACATCCTGGGTCCCCCCCTCGGCACATCCACTCGTGGGGAGCAACCCTGGTGGGCAGGGCCTCCACAGAGGAGGCCTTCCAGAAGTATTTTTCCACAAAGGGCTGTCACACAATGCTGCTCTGTACTGGCAAAGTGTAACCAAGACAACCAGCTATGAAGGAAAAAACAGTTGTGGGACTTCTGGGGATGGGAAAAGCATCTAGATTAATTTTTCCTTTAACCACATTCTGATCTGTGTGAAGAATCTTTGCACACATTCTTACTGCTCATTTGCTCAGAGAGCTGAAAACCACTTGAGATTTGGCTGTGTGAGCCTATTTTTCTCAATCGAAGCCCCCCGGTCCCCTGCCCCCAACAACTGGCAACCATCCGCGCATCTCTTCCCAGATTGATGAATGCGGGTCCCACAAGCATGGGTCAATGGATCACGACGATCGTGCTTATTCCTCTGGGAACATCACATGCACTGGCTGAGCTGCAAGCCTCACTAAGGTCCCAGGGCAGTATCTGAAGGCTCGGCGCCACTGCGCTCGGACCAAGAGCATCACTCTGGGACACAAGCCTCAGGGCTCTGCTCACACTCACGTGTTCTTCCGAAGCGTAGAGGACTTCCATGAGTCGCTGCACGAGGTCATCGTTTTCCTGCCCGTGTTCCTGGCAGAGGAGCTCAATCTCTCTCAACTTTCCGAAGTAGAAATCCCTCTCCTTTTCCACGCCTTCAAGGGCAAGTTTTAATGAATGTACCTGTGAGGGAGGGAAGGTGGAAAAGAAAACCCTCAAACTACAGCATAAGAAATAAATGACCAACTGTGCCTGCGTATAAAGATGCGAAACATCAAAAGACAGATGTGCAAAAATAACCAACATGCAGGTCCGGGGAGAGACGAGGGGCTGCTGCTGGAGCTTGAGCCTGGGCCCGAATGCCCAGCTTCAACAGCACACTTGTCACTCCTGTCAACCGACCATTTATACCCAGAGGCCCGGGGATCCTTCTGCCCGAGACAGTTCCACCCGGGCTCCGAGTCAGCCTTCCTCTCCTGGTAACTAACCTGGGCTGGGGCACATCTTTCCCCCATCTCATTCATCCTCTACAGGGAGGGGAGAGGCGAGAGCGGGAGGAGGGAGGGGAGGGGAGGGAGAGGCTGGCACTGTGGTCCCTTCAGACGCGCTTTGCGGAACCTCCTTTCTTCACGTCACTTGAAAGCCGCCCTCGACTTTGGAGCCCTTCATACATGTTCCTGAACCAAACTAGACAAATGCTCCTACTGAGGGACTGGGGCATGGCTGCACAAGGAAAACTGGGTGAGACTAAAAGCAGGCTGAGTGGATCTGTCTTAATTCCTCTAGTTCTGGCTTCGAGCTCATCACGTGAAAGGCGGGAAGATGTGGAAGCTCCAGTCCCTCAGCGGAACAGCCCTCATTCCGTTTTTTCTCCCTTGATGCGGGTTCAAGGGCCTTGCAGCTTCTCACCGTGGTTACGGAGATGGCGCTGGTGAAGGGAAGAGGGCAAGGGTTGAGGCTGGCAGAGCCGTCACCTGGGCTGAAGAAACACCACAGGCAGTGTAGACAGATCTGGTCTCAAATTCCAGGCTGCAGGCCGAGCAGCTCCACACAGGCCCAAACCATCACCCCCTTCCTGCTCTCGGAGAATCCCTCAAGTTTTCTGAACCATTTGATCATTTATATTTATGCAGAGAATATCTTTAGGAGGTGAATTAGGTCTCTCATGGTTCTCCTCAGGAGAAATCTCTCTTTCAGTATATGAAAAATCACCCTTCACAGATTTCCAAAGATTACATTTGGAGTGGAAAATCTGTTTCTAGTAACTCCGGGCCTTGGTACATACTATTTATCTGTCTGGAGTTATTGACTCGTTCAAACAGATACTCAGCACCTGCAGTGTCCGTCTCCTTGTGCACCTGGCAAACTTGTGTCCATCCAGTAAGACTCAAGGATATGGTTTTTCCGCAGAGTTAACCTCACTGATGCCCTCATGTAGCTGGTTACAAAGCAAAGGAGGATCAGTCGCTAACTTCTTTTTTTTTTGGCCACGCCTTGCGGCTTGCAGGATCTTAGTTCCCTGACGAGGCACTGAACCTATGCCCCACTGCAGTGGAAGCACGGAGTCTTTAACCACTGGACTGCCAGGGAATTCCCTCAGTCACTAACTTTCAGCTCTTATTTCTGATAATACTATGGCTTGGACATTTGTAAAAACTGAAGGCAACCCAGTTGGCTGAATTCTAGAGTAAAGAAAACTGTTTATTCTAGAACCTCCCCCCCACCCCGCCCAGACTCGACCACAGACCCATCTCACGCCTGCACTGGTGCCACCAGCGGGTCTGCGGTAGTTTAGGTGTCTGCTGTCTGCCAGCTCCCCTTCCCTGTGTCGGGCAAGAAGGGTCTCTGGATGCCTCTGACCCACGGAAACCAGGCTTGTCAGCCTCTCAAGTGCTGTGGTCTGTACGGTGAACCAAGAGCTGAGGCTTTGTAGAAACACCCAGCCCAGGTTGGCCTGTGCTGCTATTCCAGATGCATGAGGTTAACAGATGCACAGCTATAAACTTTCCCTGGTAAAAACCAACAGGAGCTAAACTACTTGATGAAAGATCCGTTGGCAAATGGGATGCCATTTTCACAGTCCCACTCCGATGCCTCCTTGCTCCCGCACGTGTCAGAGCAGGAGCCTAAGCAGTGGAGGGGATGCTGGGGATGGACCCTTGAGAAAAGTCAAGGGGAAGTTCTCTTCTCCCAATTCTCTACCGCTCAGGTGTCCACACACTGTAGATCCGCCCAGCCTTCCAGTCCGAGCCACGGACAGTGTCTGTGCGGGCTAACCAGGCCCCACTCTTCAGCCCCCGTGGTCCCCGAGCACAAGCAGGGACCCCATCCCACCACCTGTTTGCTCACCTACTCTCCAGAAACAACCCCTGATTATTTTAGTCATGTCTTCTCCTCCCCTGTGTCTTTTGGTTCATTTCTATCATTGAAATTCTCTAACACAGTGGTGCTTTCATAGCATGTCATGGGAGACTGCCCAAATCAAGGCATGAGGCCAAGTGAATGAGAATTCTTAAAGTTTACGGCACTGGTCACTTTGTCTATTACCACTGTAATTCAGTCTTTGGTCCGGGCATTTTTACTTGGCCCTTCCTCGTCTTCGTGTCCTCAATTCCAACACAGTGATGACTGTGAGTGGCTCCCCACCAGTTTGGGGGAGCACCCTGTAGGCTTTGGGGACAGAAAATGGAGGGAGCATTAACATAGCCTTGGAAATACAGCTGAAGGAGGCGCTCAGTAAACAGCTGGTGAATGAAGGCTTACAATGTAGGATGGGTCCGACCTTCCCTCTGGGGGACAGATGGAGGTGCGGGGACACTCTCCTCCATGTGAATGCATGGGGGGACAGCCCGGGAGTGAGGCCTTTGGAAGTAATGAAGGAATTACAAGCAGGAGGAGGAAGGCCACTGGCATGTGCTTCTCCGTGTCTTCTCTAGAGTGGCATTCTGGATGGGACAGCAGTTTAGCTGAAGCATCGTAGAGGGCTGGGGCCCTTGGGGCTCTGTGTGTGATTGGAGAGCTACTGGGAGCCCAGAGCCAGCCCCAAGGAGAGGAAGTGGGGCTGGTTGGCGAAGGCCGTAAGCGAGAGAGGGGCAGGCAGGATCTCGAGGTTCCAATGTGTTTCTACTTTGGGTTGGTGGTTTGGGAAACTGGGTGTGGTAGGGGTAGATGAAGAAACATTTGATAATAAAGATATCAAAAGAATTTGAGTCCTACGGAGAAAAGGGTTATAAATCTAAAGTATTACAGACCCACACCCGACTCTCTTCAGGTCTACTTGCTTAGAGCCTCAGGCCTGTGGCCCAAGGCTAATTAGGGCTGTCCTAACTGCCTTTTTTTTTTTTTAAATTTTATTTATTTTTGGCCGCGTTGGGTCTTTGTCGCTGCTTGCGGGCTTTCTCTAGTTGCGGTGAGTGGGGGCTACTCTTCATTGCGGTGAGCGGGCTTCTCATTGCGGTGGCTTCTCTTGTTGCAGAGCACGGGCTCTAGGCACGCGGGCTTCAGTAGTTGCGGCACACGGGCTCAGCAGCTGTGGCTCGCGGGCTCTAGAGCTCAGTCTCGGTACTAACTGCCTTTCATTCTAGAAGAACTCATTGCTGGAAATTGTATAAGGGCTCAAACTGAGAATCAGCAGGTAATTAGAACATTCCACAGTTTCTAAATCAAAGTCCTACGCAGCGATGACTTAAGGTTTTACCTTTTTCATTAAAGTGTTCAGAATTGTAAAGAAACACCCTAGTTAAGCAACTGCTTGCTTTTTAACTAGATTCTTGTTTGCAAATATACAACTATCTCAAAAACTGTTTCCAGACTCTTGCTGGCTCATCAAGAATCAGATTAATCACCGGGATCTGCCCATGCCCAGTGAGTAGCTGGGAACAGCCTGGGCACCTGGGATAATGGCTTTTCTCCCAGGGGTGGGAGTGGCCAGGAGAAAAGACTCTCCTCCTGGGCTTCCCTGGTGGCGCAGTGGTTGAGAGTCCGCCTGCTGATGCAGGGGACACGGGTTCGTGCCCCCGGTCTGGGAAGATCCCACATGCTGCGGAGCAGCTAGGCCCGTGAGCCATGGCCGCTGAGCCTGTGCGTCCGGAGCCTGTGCTCCGCAACGGGAGAGGCCACAACAGTGAGAGGCCCGCGTACAGCAAAAAGACTCTCCTAACTCAGGGCAAGGGTGGGTGGTTTCTGCACTGGGCCCTATGCTACCAATTGTTTTATTACTTTTAAACTATGTATACTCTTGGGCAAAATTAGCTATTGTTAGTTAGAAAGCATACCTAAGCTTTTATATTGAAAATTTCGAAGGCAGTAGACCTAGATTTACTGCAATCCTAGGGATATTAGATAAAAAGGCAAGTTCTATTTAACTGTGGCCTTTCTGATGCCCTATTCCTGGGTTCAGTGCTCCTGTGTACTTTCACTCTTGCGGGAAGTGTTCAGCCATTTGGCTTTTGCTTGTGTAATAGACAATGGTGTGTGGCTGCTATCTGTAAATTCTATGAGGGAAGAGAAGCTCTCTATCTTGCTGCCATTATATTATCAGCATCAAGTATCGTGTCTGTCACATCGAACAGGCTTAACAGATAGCTGCTGAAAGAAAGGAAGGAAGGAGGGAGACTAACCCCTGATGCCTTTAACACAATCTAGACTGGCTAGAAGTGGCCACGGTCTAGCCTGGAGCTCCTAACAGGCACTGAGGTGTACGGGAGGGCGAGGCTGGCCTGGCTACCTGCATTTACCTAAAGCCGAGTCATCTGTCCCTCTGTCTCAATGTATAGCTTTGAGATTTGTGACTTAACATCTTTTATTCACAATGGGCCACTGATTATCTGCCCCAATAGTTCCTTTCATTCTTACTTGCTTGAAGCCACTGATTCCCGCCGCTTCCCTCCCCCTATCCCAAGCCCACAGGAGTTTGCTCATCTCACCCCCTGACACCTGTCACTGCTCCCAGAGACACAGCTGGGGATGCCGAGTTACCTGTTCATTAAGCTGTATGACCTGTGTTTCTAAATCTCTATCAGATCTGGATGCGGAGCTGCTGGACGAAGCCCTTTTGGCTGATGAGGGACGAGAAGGTGTGGATCCTGGTTTAGACGCTGGACTGGATTTAGCCGCACCTGAAAGGACCCAGAATAAATTATGAATATTGGCAACATCAGAAATGCTGTTTAGGTAGGTAGCAAAAGTGTGATATAAAAGGAATTTACTCAAACACAGAAGAGACACTGCCAGTGGTCTCTTGCCAGCACAGAAGTAGCACAGATACGCTTAGAAAGAGTGGACTCGATAAAACGACAGAATCATCCTGGGCAACTTACTTAACCTTTCTGAGCACTGGTCGTTCTTCTCAAGTGACGTGAGATTAATGCAGTTGTCCCTTCTCCCTCCAGAGAGATGAGAACAGATACAAAGGGATTTTAAGTTTGTTTGTTTTTTTTAAAGAGGAAAGGTTCTTTGATAAGCTCAGAGCATCACCATAATTGAATTTCTAACACAGACCTTATAAGAGAGTAACACTTTAGGAGAAATATCAATGCACGTCTATTTTTTCCTCTTTTAATGTATTTCCTAGTTTTAGCCATTAAAAGAGTCTAGGAGCCATGATATCTCTGTAGCAACAGGCACTCCTGGTGCCCAAGTCCTGGTTTCTAAATGTTATTCTGCAGTAAAAGGGCTTCTTGAGATATGATATGGCTGATTCCAGGGCTGGGGCAGGGAAAGGACAAGGTGGGCCTGGGACATCTCATGTCAAAAAGCAAGGATGTGCTCAAGGATTAATGAATGTCAGGGGCCAGCCCAAAGGGGTTCCCAACTGGCCAGACTTGGACCATTTGCATACCAAAAAGAGTGATGGCTGTAATGTATTACAATGCACTGAATAAATAAAAATCTCGTCCATAATGAGGGTAGGGGAGAGGGAGAATCCAAATATCTCCACAGAACACTGACAGCCAGTAAATGCTAAAGAAATGCTAGAAAAATCACAGTTTTGCAATACACATAACTGATTCAGGAAAGTTTCATCAATTGACTCTAAAACACTGAGAAGTGTCTGGAGGACGGGATGTTTACACGTGTCAAGGTGTTACCCTATAAGTTGCTTATAAAGGGTGAAAGATATGCCTTTACAACAGGGAAGCCTGAGGATTGGGACCTTAACCAAGTTATTCAGTAGCATCACTAATAATGATAGAAATTGGCAAAAAAAAAAAAAAAAATAGGACCATTGATGTCAGGTAAGAACTCATCTACCTGAAGCTCAGCTCATGACAGGCTCTCACTATCTAGAACTTGACAGACACAGGAAATGGCCTCTGCAGCCAAAACAGATGGCACAAGATATATGCAGTGAAGTGTATACACTCCATGGGTTTAGAAATTCAGGGTCATTACTGGGGCCCAGCCACTCCCTCTTACTCAGAACAGCTCAGTCCGGTGTAGGTGCTCCCGCTGGCCCAATTCTCCACCACAGTCCCGCCCACTCTGCTCCTCTGGTTCTTGGAGGGCAAGGAACTCATCATACTCAGCTTTGCAACCTCAGTGCTTCGCACAGTACTTGGCGGAACACATATTTGGTGAAGGAACAAATGCTTAAATACACGAACAAGTAAACAAAACCTGGTTGTATGGTTTCCAATTTTACAGTTTACTGGTACTAAGAGATTAGAAAAAGGCAAGCACCCTGGCAGCAGTTACAAGTTTCAACCAATCTCCTAATTACAAAGTAGCAAGCAGGAAGACTATAAAATTCCTATCTGTATGTCTTCAGAGTCGTGAGAGATGCAGAGTCATACACACCCTCAAGAAGCACTGACAGTAACATACCGTTTAAAATACATGCCTGTTATAAAGAAAGAAAGAATTCTTCTAAAAATACAGGGAAATGCCTAATATATGTAAAACTGAGGATGCTTAAGTTAGGAATGACTTAAAAAGTTTGAGTATTCAAACCTTCAGTGACCTGGAAACCTCAGGTCATGAAACCTTGTGCAGCGGAACTTCCCAAGTTGTCCAGAGAGCGGATGCTTTGCTTTGCTCAACAGCTGTGAGGAGGCTTCATCTCTGGAAAAGCCCAGAAAACACACTCCTGGACATAGCTTCCGTGTCCCATTGGCCAGCTTCTCTAACTCCACGCTAAGCCAACAGGGTAAAGAACACAGCGTGGAAAACAGCAGGAGAGGCAGGGCGAGGACGTGCTGACCTGACAAACAGCCTTCTCCAAGGGTGGCCACCAGCCAGCCTCGCTGGGGAAGCAGCTTTTGAAAAATCAAGTTACTTCAGACCTTTTCATGAGCACTCTGTCGTATTTTAATATAAAAATAGTCTAACAGAAAGTGGCTCAAAGACTGTCTATGACCAACCCCTCTAATTTACTAAATACGTATTTATTAAGTGCCTACCATGAGCCCTGTACTGGAAGTCCCTGCTCTACAGGAGCTCATGACCTGGTGGGAGTGGGTCATTTAAGAATGCCCACAGACAGAAAGACAAATACTCTATGTTATCACTTACATGTGGAATCTAAAAAATAAGGCAAATGAATGTATATTTTAAAAAAAAAAAAAAAAAGCCCAGGCATGGCCACACTCAACATTCTCAGGAAAAAGGCAATGTTCTAGACATGACCACGGATTGGGATCGGGCTGTGTTCCCTCTGCCTGAAATTCTTCCTCCCCTCCTTTGAGTGACTATGTCTAACAGCCTTCGGGTCTCAGCTTAAATGTGGTGGCTCACACATCCTTCACACAGCACCCATCAACGGTAATGGTACAGTGATTTATTTAATGCCTACTTCTCCCATTAGACTTAATCTCCACGAGGTAGGAGTTGAGTCTGTTTTGTTTACTATTTTATGTTCCCAAGGCCAAGTACAATGCCTGACCCAGAGGAGACACTCAATAATAAGTTTTTATGACTCATGAAAGAACGCCTAGGACAGGCATCTATCCAGGGTAAAGATCCCAGGGGAAGCTCGAGGAGCTGATGCCAACCTCAAAGTCACTGACAGCAGGAGCCAGCAACACCTGAAGGAAACGAAACAAAACCCACCAGCCTCCCAGAAAGAGATCTCTTACTTGGTTTCAAGTTCACCTTCCATTATTACTTAGGCCCTGTATAGATGGAGTCAAGACAGTAGTTCATGTGGGTGAATTTAAATTCAGTCAGTAAACAGTTAACTCTGAGTAGGGAGGAGCAAGATGGTTTGTGCTGGGCTGTCCTATCCAAGCCTCTGCCATGCTTCCGTCCATGCCTCTTCTGAAGAGAACAGCTCTGGGGAAGGGGCTTCCCTAGAGAGCAAGTGACCCACCCACCCAGCCTGGGCAAGCCTCCCTAAGCAGGTCAGCAGCTATGACGCGGCTGGTTGCAGGAGCTGAGCGAGGTCCACCAGACACACTCATGTTCTTATACCCTGCCTCACCCAGTCTCATGTAAATTTTCAAAGAAAAGCGTGGAAGGAATAGAAGCTGATTGCTTGTAAAACAAGGTTATCACTGATTATATTATCAGGACATCATCAAATGCAGCTTAGAAAAACCTGAAACGTTTGATATGAAGTTAAAGTAGAAGAGGTCATGGCAAGCCAAAGCCCCATGTAAGACCAAGTTATCAGGGAAAGAAAGCCTAAAAATACGCAGAGGAAGCTGGCTGGGAGAGAAATGGGGTCACGGGAGATGCCGGGTGGCTCACGGCAGAGAGGCCAGAGCTGCTGCAGTTACTGACGCTGTCCCAGTTCCAGCTTTTTCCTGAAGAAACACATCCCTTGCTACTGACAGAGTCCAACTTTACTGTGGTTCACAGGGTCTCGGCATTAAAGTGGCATCTGTGTTTCACGGATCCTGTAAAGGTCAGCTGGGGTGCAGAGCCCCAGGTCCTTCAAACTGGCACACATGCATGCAGGCTGTGGGTCTCTGAGACGAGAAAGATGAAAGCAGTGAGAGTCAGACCTGGCATCCCCCTGCTGCAGGGCAGGGAGGGGACAGTGGAGAAGAGGGGGTCTGGTCCACGCTCTACCCGCTATGCTCCCTACACGGGGGACAGAAGAAAAGCTTCTGCCCCCAGAATATGGACAAAGAAGGGAAAACAAATTTGAAAAATTTAATAGCTCAATTAAGGAATTTGAAATTTAAAATGAGAGGGGTTTTGAAATTCTGATTAAGTTGTTTGGAAAGAAACTGATAATCGAGGGAAATGCATGTCTGATGAATGAGAATACAAGAGGTCAGCACCAAGTTAACTGTACATTTCTACCTTCTAACGAATAAACGCAAAGAAATGAAAGACCAGGAAAGACAGAGGGAGATCTTAGTATCTTCAGAGGTTAAAAGTTTTTAAAAACCACACAAAGCTCATTTTCAAAAGAATGTAAACTGAGCTCTTTGAATCCTCACAGGCTGCAATTTGATATGAACGTAATTGACCACTCACGGCTATCACGTGATTAAGGCTAAAATACTAAAATGTATAAAGATGAAAATGCAACCTTTTCTTCATTGTGTTGAATGATTTCATGGTTTAACTTATTAGAATAAATAATGATAGACAATATCCTATATTATATCATGCTCATTAGTCAGTTAAAAACTAGGTTTTTGTTTATTTGTTCTACAAGCCTTGCTACCTTCTTTCAAAACACCATACCCTAAGGAGTACCCAGCTTCTGGGGTGACAGATATTCTTTTTTCACTTACCCAGGCTGCTATAATAAGGATGTTATCAGAAAACTGTACAATGTCAGTAAATTTAACACTGATATAATACTTTTATGTAAATTAACATTCATATTCCATTTTTGTGAAGTGACCCAATAATGTCCTCTATAGTGTCTAATCCTGAGGATTAGATACTGAGGATCTCAAAAGCTGCCTTCATGCTTCCCTAAATGCCTCCAAGTCCACTGGTGATTTCACTACTGGGCCTTCCCATGCCTCTCTGCTCAACGATGCTTACACGAAAAACATTTTACATAATAGCTTTTAAAGGGAGTACAGCTACTTTGGCAATAATAATAATAATACAGATAATAGATTTTTTTTTCCTGCAGCTATCAAACGTTTCAATTTTTTTGTCGAGCTGCATTTAATGATGTCCTGAAAATATAATTAGTGGTAGTCCTGTT